CTGGGCAGAATGTGGGGCCCAAAATGCCCACCCCTCACCATGTATAGTGCACACATCTTGCCATACTGAGGGACAGGGCACACCAGGGACTTGTTGGCTCTCAGTGACAGGAGGAATGTGGTGTGAGTGGGAGGGCAGAAGGCACACCTGGAGGCCAGGCCAGTTTAGGGGAATCCTCAGAAGGGAGATGTAAGTCCTGTCTGGACCTAGGTTCCAACCCTGTCTCCTCAATGTCCTATGTCTCCTTTTCCCTTCACCCCTAACCCTAGGACAGGAAAAGAAGGGGAAATCTCAACATGGAAAAACTCCACAATGAAAAATGATAGAATGCCTTCAAACCAAGGAAAAATGAGAAAGAGAGAAAAGCTACAGGATGAGAGAAATCCAGAAACTTGTACTCCAGAAGTGAAGGAAATGCTGGAAAATTAGGGAACGACAAAAGATGAGGAAATACTAAAGGATAAGGAATAGTCAGAGAGTGAGGCAGAGACAAAAGAGGAATGAAAGCCAGAAAGCCAGGGGAAGGAAAATGATGAGCAGAAACCAAATGAAGTGGTAAAATCCAAGAGTGATACAAAAGCAAAACAGGATGGAAATCCGTTAAAACGATGACTTTTGGGGGTGGATCTTCCAATGCTGAACCAACACTGCCCTCCCTATAACAAAACCACTTTCTACATACTGCCAGATCTGACTTCTAATAGTTTGTTTTCTTAAACAAATTTCTATCTATGTCCATAGTTTTTTCTTCTATTTTCTTTATCTGGTTTTAGGATTAACACAATGTTGATTTCCTAAAATGAGGGGAGAAGTGTTCCCTTTTGTTTCTGCTTTAAATGTTTGATATAATTTATCAGTTAAAATGTATATGAGCCTGCTGCTGTCATATAGGTAGGTTTTTCAAGCTAGGAATATACTTTCTTTAATAGGTGCTATTCAAATTTTATATTTCCTCCAGAGTTAGTTTCATTAATTTGTCTTCCAAGGTACTTCTTAGAAGTTGTCGAATTTATTTCAAAAAAGATTTTTGTAATATGCTTTCTATATCCTTTTAAATTCTGTAAAGTCTGTGGCAATGTCTCCTAGATCTTAATATTGTAATTTAAAAAATGTATAACTGATATTGTGTAACAGAAAGAAAAGGTCTAAAGGAGCAGGGGAAGTGGGAGGGGTAGGGAAAAGGAAAAAAGGGAAAAGAAAAAATATGAGAAAAGAAAAAAGATGAAAACAAATTCTCTGTAAATAGGGAAGGCTGGAGGGGTGAAGGGAGGGCAAGAGAAGGGGAAAATATAAGAACCAAGATACTCATGTAATGGTACAAGATCCCAATGATGAATGTAACTGTATTTTATACCTAAAATGTACCAATAAACTTAATGGGAAACAAAACAAAGCAAAACAGGATGGAAAGCCAGAAAGCCAGAGAAAACCAGACCTGAACAAGGGCTGCAAGAAAGCACCCCGCTGAGAATGACATACAGATATTCCTCATTTGACAGCCTACCTGTTTAAGGACTGTTCAGACTTATGACCAAGGTGTGCTGTTCAGACATACCACCCACCGCTCAGATTTATGACTTGCCACTAGGATTTTGGAAGCTGGAACACAAGGAGCCTTGCAGCCTTCTGGTGGCTTCTTGTACTTCTGTATTCAATTCTATGTGCGAAACTCCATAGAATTCTCAGTGAGTATACTGTCTACAGTACACTGTCTGTAGTGTGTTCTCAAAAGTGAATGCAGTTATGTTAGAACTACAGGCTATAATTCCAAATGTTGCACGGTTCACAAAAGTGGAATGGCAAATGAGTGAACTTTTATGATACTGTCATAAAGAAGCAAAAAAGAAAATGACAAAACAAACTACACTAACAGTATTCTTTTCTAAAGGTACACCCAGGACCCCTACTACTAGTCCTTCCATTTCCACTTCATCATCTCCCTTACCTGGGCATTCTACATCCCCTTATCATAATTCCTATTATGAAACCGAAGAGGACTTTAAAGGATTCAATTACTACAACCCTAGGACTGAATAGTTTAATTTTGCTATTGGCGCTTTCCAAGAGGCTTTACAAAGCCTCTATGCCAAACGTATACACAATACTGTTGCATCTTCAGGATCAAGAGACTGCAGTGTTAGAGAAGCTTGAGCTACAAGTGTGGACATACTGTGGATTTTTTCTTGCTCTCCATACCATTCAAAACTAGAAACCATATGGAGCCTAAACACAAAACCAAAATGACATATATTATTTCTAAAATCCAAGGCCCTGTTTCTGTTACCCTAAGTGGAGCATGGTAATCTGCAGGTATGTGTTTAACTGCAACTCCTCCAGGGCTGCCCCTGATCTTCTGGGCTTCAACCCTGTCAGAAATACTTTTTTTTCCTTTGTGAAGCTGGGCTCCTGTAACCTGTATAGAACCTTCTACTGGGTTTGTTTATTGCACAGATTCCAGAACTGGTTAGTTCCAAGTTGCAGAGCCTGTCTTCCTGAGGTTGAGAAGTTCCACACACTGCAGCCTAGGAGCTCTTCTTGGTGCTGCTGGGAATGTATTCATTCACAATGACAGTTTTCTTGGCCTACCTTGCTATGTCTGAATTAGAGCAGTTCCTGTCCAACCTGTGAAGGTCATGATTCCCTTTTTGAATCCCCTTTTTGAATTGTAAATAAACTGCTAAATAATTTGTCCAAGGTTATTTGTGTAGATAGGGGCTAAACTTAGAGAAGAATTTGTGGTTCCTAACTTAATAATTATTATTTACACTTTTACTAAGTACCTAGTACTTCTCAGATATTTGTACTGAGCACTAGAAATACATGTGTGAAATGGATAACTATTCTTAAGGATTCAAAGGGTCCAATGCAGTATTTCTCAATTTTTTTATCACAATCCTCAGTTAGAAATAAATTTATCACAACTCTTAAGACGCACACATGCATGCATGCGCAACTAAAACATTTTTCACAAGACAATATTCATCCTATTTGCAATGTAATTTGATCTTTCATATTTGGCTCTATTGGACTCTATTATATCTCATTTCTTTAAAAGTTGTAGGTCTTGAACCATTGAATTGATTTTAAGATCAACTTTGCATAAGAGAATAACTGTATTTTGACAAGCATGGGTCTATTTAATAATCTGTGATGTGTATCTTGTATATATTATCCCTTCATGTACATATTTCATGTGAAGGCGAAGGTGGGAAACCTGAAAAGACTCTCTCTTAAGCAGGGGTTTCTCAGACTTCTCAAGGTTTCTTCAGACAGCTTGGGATCTTGTTAAAAGCCTGGGATACTTTTTTAAAATTTCTAATTAGCTTTCAGTTACTGCTGATGCAGCTGCTCTATGGAACACATGTTCACCAGTAAGGATTTAAAACTCAAATGTGTTGGTGGGTCTGCTAGCTGATAAGGTGGGGCCTAATGACAGTTTCCTGGGAAGAGTTTTGCAGACAAGATAGTAACACATGAGAACAACACACTGAGTAACACATGAGAACAGCCACTATCAAAGATACTTTTTTCTGGCCTAGGCTGCAATGTGTGAATTTTTTTTTTTTTCGGTTGAGTTTTGTTTTTGTTTTTTGGTACCAGGGATTGAACTCGGGACCTTGTGCTTGCAAGGCAGGAGGTGGCAGCACTGAGCTAAATTCCGGCCCTATGTCTGAAATTTTTGACATTATTTAGGTTTGTAAAACACACAAATGCATCAACAAAATATATATAAGTGGTCATTTTTCTGCAAAAGAATCTGGAAGATTTTTACTAGGGCCCAAGCAGCACAAGAGTGACACCCACAGGTAACTGGTGACAGTAGCTCCTAAGTGATGAGAGGATTCTATCCACTTTTACTGGGGCTAAGGGTGATGAACATTGGCTCACCAGTGATACAGAGAAATTGACATGGTTTTAGCCACTATAAAGCCCTAGCAGTAAATGGTGCAGGGCCTAGCAGTAAAGGCACTGTGCCTAGTACACATGGAAATATACAGGGCAGAGTGGTATCTGTTAGCTACCTGGACTTATTCATGGGCCCAAATGAGACTTTCATTATCCCTCCCTCAAGTGTCTGATTCCATCTGTGATTCTGCTACTCTCAAGTACCTACTCCCAAGTAGTCACTCTTCCCAAGTACCTGGTGGAGACTAGTTTACACCACAACTCATATACTTAGCATGCCGTTTGATCTGCTAGGCAATCCTGTAAGAAGACAACTATGATCCTCATTTCAAGATGAAAATACTAACCCTTACAGCAATGGATCTGTAGTTGACAGGCTGAGTCCTCTAGCTATGAGTTCAAGAGGAAATGTGATTTTTACTTATTTTTCATTGTGACAACAAAAACTGTAGGTGTCTTTAATGCTATCATAAGCTCCCTCAACAGTTCAATTGTTTTCTGGCTTTACCTTTTTAAGATTATGATTATGGCAAATGTAATCCATATTAATTAGGAAAAGGTGGACATTAGAGGGAAAAAAATTTAAAAAGCAGAACAAGAGGACAGCTTGACATGGTGGTGCACACCTCTAATCTCGACACTTTTAGGCTGAGGCAAGATGACCATAAATTCTAGCCTAGCCATTGGAAACTTAGCCACTTAGTGAGACGTCTCAAAATAAAAATTTTGAAAAGGCTGAGGATTTAACCTGCTGCAGAAACCTTGGGTTCAATCCCCAGTGCTGAAAAAAAAAAGAACCACACATAGAGGAGCCACAGGATGGCTGAGAACCCAGAAAAAAGGGCAAGCAGTCCCCACTGATTTAGATACATCTAGGGAAAATGCACAGTAGGAACACCAGAAGAGGAATGGCATAGAAGTACTTCACCAACAGGTAGTCAGTGTCATTTTTAAGTGTGAGACCTGTTCTTCTTAGTCACTGTGTAGGAATAACTACTGCCTACTTTTTAGTACATGTAAGTTCAGAGTCTTCTTGTACACAGTTGCATTATGTAAGCATATTTACAAGTTTACAAAAGTGGGCTGATACTGTATATGTGGTTCTGCAAACTGCTTTTTTATTGTTATTTTACAACATACCATGAACATCTCTTCCATGCACATGGGAGAAAATCCAGTACTAAAAGACAAAATGCAGTAGGTGGGAAGGACAGTGACACCTAAAGCAAAGTAATAGCTTAAGGTTAAAGTACAGGGCCTGGCAAGTATCTACCAAGGGAAGCAGGGCCAGCAGTATTCTCATCAGAGAAGTCAGAATAAAAGGCCAAACGCATTAAAGGTATGGGATATCGGGCAAGCCTCTTTGGCCCTTACCTCCACCTCTCATTCCCCTGACACCTCTTGGGCTCCTTGGGGGGTATGCATCCAATAGCTCTCTTTGCATCCAGTAAAAATTATTTATCCTCTGTTTTTTCCTTAGCTCTTCCTGACCTTTTGACACATCTGTGAACTCTCTCATCATCTCCTCTCTGCTCAAATGGCTGTCCTGTATATTCTCCTGAGAGTCTTTGGGGGAATCCTCAGTCCCCCTATCAGTTTTTCTTTTTGCTTTGCGGGGCACATAACCTTCTGCCAGGTGCTTTTCAGCAGGCAACTGCTTGCTGGCTGGCTGTGCCTGGGATTCTAACACACCCTCACCCTGTGGCTTGCCCTCATCCCCCAACTTGCTCTGTATTTCAGCCTTGCCCTCATCGTCCCCTTGTCTCTCTACATCTGGCTCTCCTTCACCCTCCAGCTTCCCCTCATGTGCTGGCTTCCCCTCATGGTCAGGCTTTTCTTCCTTTTCGGTCTTCCCTTCATCTTCGGGCTCTATTTTGTCTTCTGCCTTTCCTTCCTTTTCTGGTTTTCCTTCATTTTCACTGCAGAGTTTTTTCATGTCGAGATTTCCCCTCCTGTTCCTGTCCTGGGGGTAGGGTGGAGGGAAGAGGAAACGAAGAGGAGATATGAGAGACTGAGGACACAGACGCGAAACCCAGGTCCAAAACAAACTTGCATCTCCCTCATGATGGTTCTTCTAAGCTGGCCCAGCCTCCAGGTGTGCCTTCTGCCCTCCACTCACCCCATATTCCTCTCACACAAAACAAGGCCCCAGATTCTACCCAGGCCTGGGGGTGGAGGGAGGCAGTTCCCTCTGCACTCTCAACCCTCTGGATCCTTGTGCATGCTGCAGCCCTTCCACTGACCTGCAGGGATCCTGGGCAGGTGGCTCCTTCTTTTCAGTCTTCACAGAGCCTGGCCACAACAAATGTGCAGACCTACAGACACAGGTCAGAGGAACAGGGGCTGCATGCTCAGAGAGCTCACAGGGCTCCAGTGCCTTTCCTGAATCCAGGCCCTTCTCACAGCCATTTCCCTCCATCACCCACTCCTTCTGCACCCCAGTCGCCATTTCTTTTCAGGATTTGGCCACCAAACCAAGACCTTTCCAAACTACATTTGGTCCCAGGAGACAACTTGCCTCCGCCCCCACCCCCTTTTTGTCCAGGTCCATTTGTCCCCATAGATGCATAGTGAAAAAGGAGGGTTATTTTTATGAGTCTAGGTTTCAGTGTCGCACTGCGGGGCATTTCTCCCTTTGCTTGCTCTAAAATGGATGGAGGAATGTGTGGGGGGGGTCAAAAATCCAGAGGATTGCTGTGAGGTCTTCCCTCTTTCCCTTTACCATCCCCCCACTCAACCCCCAACCTCACCTCCACCCCAGCTCAAATTGCGCCCTCTCCTAGCCGATCTGACTGATCCAGCTCAACGTTCCCTACCAGTTTCTGTGGGATGCTGCTGCTCCCCACCTCCACTTCTGCTCCTGGTCTGCCTGCCGGCAGCGCCCACCGCCTTCACACTGACCTGCAAAAACCGAGGACAGACCTGTGCCTCTTCCGGCTTCCCGGAGTACAGGCTGCTCAGGGAACTCGTTCGGAGTGGGCGCGGGCTCCAGGACCAGACTGCAGGGTTGGCAGGCGGGGGGAGGGGGGCTGGTTCCCACGTAATCGCCAAGCTAGTCACGTGAGCACCGCGTCACCGGATCTTGATATCCCCAACACCCACCTCAGTATCCCACCTATCCTGTGGGAACCGGGGACCTGAGGATAGTTGGGGAATGACAAAGGGGAGTGGCATCACAAAGCAGAGGAGGAGGGTCAGGTTTCTTGACTCCAGGTGCTTTACCAGGAATGTTTCACAGCACCTTCTCACAGCATCCCTCTCAGATGCCTGTTTTCACTGTGATGGCAGTTCCTACACGGTACCCCACGTTGCCAAGAATGCTCAGCTTTTGAATCTCATAGCCAAATTCAAACGTAGCCCTGTCCAAACCCTGATCTTGGTGATGGTGCCTGCTAGGAACCTGAGCAGATAACATAAGAGGCAATATTCCCAGGGCTTCTATCCTTAGCTTCTTGGGTTCATGTATTTTTCTCTCCCTGGGTGATGTCTTTAGTTTCTCTCTAAATACCAATGACTCTTCATAGCCACACTGTTCCCTCCCCAATTCTCAGGCCTTCCTTGCCAACTGTCTGTGGGACATAGCTGACTGGATGACTTAGGGATCTGAAAGTCTGTACCCCCAAACCAATTTCACCAACTTCCTATTGGCCAACAATTTTGGCCTTTCTCTACACTTGAAACTTACCCTCTAACATTTGATCTGTTTTCATGGAAGGAGAGTGTGAGACAGCTAATGTAGAAAGCATTAAAACATGTTTGAATGTGGACCTCAGATGAACAGATTCATAACCCTTGTTTCACAGCGCACTCTTATGAGTCTCGTTTGTCTTGTCCCCTTTCCTTTCCTTTCCTTTCCTTTCCTTTCCTTTCCTTTCCTTTCCTTTCCTTTCCTTTCCTTTCCTTTCCCTTCCTTTCTTTTCCTTCCCTACTCCCCTTCTCTTCCCCTGGCTTTCTCTTTCTCATCACCCAAACCTCAAATCTAGAAAATCACTAATATTGTACTTTTACAGTGTAGTGTCACTATATATATGTGTATATATATATATATATACACATATATATATACAAATACACAGGTACACATATGCAAACATACCTATATACACATATGTGGATTTTCTGTGTGCATACATTTATGTGTATATGTGTGCATAACGTGTTTATGTCTGTAAGTACAAGAAACCAGTTTTTATTTTGATTTACCAAAAACATCCTGTTTGCACAATTATGAATTTTGTGTGCAGCATAAACAATTCTGATTTTAGTTCTGTTATATTTTTCTGAATTTAATAAAACATTTATCTTCCTACAATGTCTTGCTTCAACAAACTGTATTCACATCATCATCACATAACAAAAAATTTTATCTGTACAGTAATATTGAACTTTTAACTGAATTCACAGTGCTATTTGTGAATTCAAATGCTCAAGGCTGAGCATTCTCTGTCATTAATATAAACTTCCCCCAAATGATATTATTTCATGAAAATATTATCAAATCATTGTTAGAATTAGCTGATTATATTTTTAAATATTCTAATGATATTAAGTTGCCATCAATAATTGGTATATTCTTTGCTAATAGAGCCTAATAACTATCACCCCTATTTTTAAACATGCCCACAAAAACTTAGAATTGAAATACAGTATACAATACTTAAATTACATTAAATATAAATTTTTCTAAATTAATTTTATTCATAGAATGTGAAGTCGGCACTACTTCATTTGCATATTACATGTTGACACTTATTTCTTAAAGTAATTACTACTTTGTGAAATATATGTAAGTATTTCAGCAGATTTATAGATTTTGGATTTCATGAAGTTAATACTATCACTACAGTTCTCTTGATGCATACTAAATGTCAACAAAAAATTTTTGCAAGTTAAATGTTTAACATCTACTTTCTTAGAAAATTAAATGTGACTTAACTTGCTATTTAATATGCACTTTGTTTCTTAATGGAAAATTAAATAATTATTCCCAGCAATAAAATATAATGTAGATTTATACTGTATAATAAATAAAAAAACCATTGAGTGATACGATAAGAGATATGTTTGCTAACTGTACTCTGTACTTAATACAGAGCTTCTCAATCTTTTGGGATTTCTTAAATAAGGTGATTTTTAGTGGGTCCTAGATAGATTCAGTATGGAAGCCAATTGTCAGAGGAACTATTCATGTGATTAAAAGGTTTAGAACTTTCAGTGTTGTTCCTAGACCTTCTGAAAGGAGAGTGGAAGTGTAGAAATAATTCAATTACTCAACAGTCAACAATGTAACAGTCATGCCCAAGCAATGGAATTACCATGGAAACCCCTTACAAATGTTATCTAATAAGCTTTAGACTTGGTGAATACATTTGATTTGCTGGGAAGGTAATATATCCAAAGAAGACACAGAAGCTCATCACCACTTTGCAGCTATATCTTACCCTATGTGTCTTTTTCATTTAGATGTTTCTCAGTTGTATCCTTTATAATAAACAGGTGAGTATAAGTCAAACATCTTCCTGGGTTCTATGAGACATTGGAGCAAATTATTGAACATCATGGGACTCCTATGATCAGTCAGTTGATCAGAAGGAAATACAGATGGCTCAGGACTTGCAATTAAGACATGGCATGGGAGGAGTCATCAAGAACTTCAGGTAGAATAGAAGAAATAAAGATAGGTAGAAAGGAGACAAGAAAAATTGTAATTTTAAAATTGTACTTTTAAAACTTCAGCTTCATGACTCAAAAGTTACACAAGCTTTTCACCCTTCCAGGAAGGGTAAAAAAAAATTCCACTTCAAAAATATTCTTAAAGGTCTTAAAATTACAGTAAGCCTGTAAATTGGGCTTGGACCAATGATTTTCATCTGTAATTTGCCCCTTTCCCCATAGTCCTCGATCTTCAAGAAAGCAGCAATATTATTAATAGGCAGCATATCCAAGTTTCAAACACAGGTAAATGGTTTGAATTGTAACATAGCCCACTAAAAGGATAACCCCATAGATAATAGGAATACACATCTTAGGTGACCCAATTTGAAGACACTCTCAAGACTACATAAAACCCCCCAACCCTAGACTATAATGCACCTCTTTTGACTGCCTGCACTCTATTCTGAGTATGTGTCTTTTAATATTTTTGCCTAATAAACCTTTTTATGCTTTACTGATGTATCTTGAAAATTCTTTTCCTGTGTCAGTAGTCAGCAAACCTACAACCTACCCATGGGTGGGGTGATTTGAGGTCTCCATCTCTTCTTTAGGACCTCATCTGGTAAAAGGACTGAGCTGTTCACCCTCTGGAGACTGATGCTAACTCTGGATTGTTAGAGTCAGAATTGTGTTGAATTGTTGGGCATCACTATGGTTTGCATATCGTTCACTCCCACCAAAACTCATGTGGAGGCTTGGTCAATGAGAGGTGGCAGGGCCTTTAAGTGGTTTGGGGATCATAAAGGAGCCACTTTCATGAAGAGATTAACGCCCTGTCTTGGGAGTGAGTCCTTGTTCCTGCAGTACTGGATTAGTTACCTCACTCCCTAACAGCACACTCAGTTGCTGAACTCACCAGTGAATGAATCTACCAATGAGTCCAGTATCCTCCATGATTTAACCACCTCACCAAAACACCACTTCTGAGCCCAGGAGAGTTTTGGGGTCATTTTTGTTGTAAACCATAGCATGGCCTGAAATAATATACCCTAAAACAATGGTTAATTGGTGTTTATAGAAAGGAACTGATAAAAAAATCTTTAAAAATAGGAAGCAAGAATAAAACATGAAACCAAACAGAGTGGGTATATTTTAAAACTTTCCTTGAGATTTATAATTTATGCTTGAGAGATGAAGCAAAAAAGCATAACATTATTTGATATGGACCCCAATATATGTGGAGAAAATACTTAGGATAATTATATGTAATTAGTGGAGAATAAAGAGGCTTAAAGCATGATAAAGTTTCGACACTTTACTCAGATAGGCAAAATGTCAACAATAGCAATGATACATATATAAAATATTTTGTTGTACCATTATCAAAAAAGTCTATACAAATAGATACAAAAAGCACTAAAGATAAATAAAAATAGATCTAAAATTTGTTCATGTAAACCATAGGAAAGCAGGGGGAAAAAGCAGAGAAATGAAAATACAGGGAACAAATGTAAAAGAAAAAATAAAACAACAGACAAACCATTGTATTTCAAGAATTTATTAAATCCAAACAATCTAAATACATCAATTAAAAGGTAGAGATTGTCATTGGCAGAAGAGACTTAAAAACAAACAAAACCTTCACCCAACTCAATCCTCTCTTCCAGAAATTCACTTCTGCTGGTTATGTAGCTCAGTGGCTCCGTGCCTGCCCAGCAAGTGCAAGGTACTAAGTTCAATCCCCAGTACCGAAGAAAAAACAGAAAAAAAGAAAAAAAATTCACTTCAATGCAATAAATTGTGTGACAGTAAAATGAAGTAAAAATATAAAACAAGGAATTTTATGAAAAAAGAATAGGCATATTATCATCATATTAAGTAAACTTCAGAGCAAAGATAATTGCCAGACATAGATAGAAATATGTAATTATAAAAGGGTCAGTCCAACAAGAAACATAAGATCTTGCTTTTTGTTGTTGTTGTTGTTGTTGCAGTACTGGGGTGTATGCATCAAACAGCACTGCAAAATATGTAGAGCAAAAAAAGAACTGAAACAAGTAAACCAATCCAAAATTTATAGACTTCAACACTCATTTCTCTATAATTGATACAACTAGATAATTTCTGTCATTCATTTGGTGCCATTATACTATTTATGTTATTTTGTAATATTTGGATTCAAATTTACCACTTCATTACTGTATTTGTTTTCTGTTTATTCTCTCTGGGTTTTGTTTCTCTGTTTCCTATTTTTTGGCATTTGAACATTATTTCATACTCCATTTTCTTTTTTCTTTTTATTTTACTAAATATCTTTAGGTAATATTTTAGTGCTTGCTCTAAAACTAAGTATGTGCCTTTTCACAGTCATTTTAGACTTA